GACAGCTGTTGTTATCCTCTGATGTTTTCACTGTTGGATTTTTGTCTTGGTATCATAATGTTGAGATGTGCACATTGACCTTCAGAAAGGTTACACTCATGTCTTTTACAGTGAAGGCCACCACAGCTTCCCTACCTTCTCATGTGGCAGGTTTTAAAGCCTACAAATTGTAGCCTTCCAGCTTTATTCATAGCTTCGGAAGCTCCTGGGTCTGAAGCATGGCTCTAGCACTGCTTTATGAGACACAGTCTCTCTCTGGAGTCCAGGTTGGACCCTAGCCTTCAATCTTCCTACCTCAGCTCCGTAAGTGCTGGGATTACAAACATGTGCAATGGCATCTGTCTAGGTCCCAAACTTTTAGTCCCTGGTTGACCACTGTCTCTCATATTCTCATCATAGCCTCTCTTAACAGTGTCACTTCAAGCAGCATCCTGATTTGGTGATGCTTGGCAACTTTGGCTTAAAATTTCCTACAAAGTCACATTTCATGATTCCTACTAAGGTTATCCTGGGACTCATTTTCCTCTAAGGAAATCGCTGGCCCATCTCCTCAACAAGATGTCTGTAGAGATGTTTAGGAGCAAGGGTAAGCTGCCTCTTGTAAGCACCATGGGCCTTAGAACATGAAGTCTTTGGCATGGGACACCCAGACCCAATACCAAGGAAGCAGAGGGCTGAGGAAGTGGATGGTCAGCCTAATCTTGCTGCCTTCTGATGCTATTTGCACCCCTTTTATGTGTGAATTGAAAACATGATTTGGGGGACATGATTTGGGGACATTGAGCATCAGGATACCCACTCAATGTTGGCCCCTTGCCTGAGTGGCTTCTGAATTCAGCTACATGATCTAGATGCTGTCAGCAGAACCAGCTGTCACTCTGAGGACGTTAGGTGACATCTTTTTCAGAAAGTTCTATCAGGAGAGAGCGGATGTCTTTTGCCCCATGTGCGGTCCCTCTTAACATTCTCCTCAGCCTCTGCCTGACATTCTCTCACCCCCACCTCCCACATGCTCACTTTGTGCTGTCATAAATAGCTTGGCTCCTTGAACAGCCTCTAAAAGCTTAACAGTAGCACCCTTTGCATCTGCAGAGTATGTTACTGTCTTCAAAGCACTTTCATATACATATTATCATCTGATCTTCACAAACCCTTCCAGGGATGTAGGTTAGGCCTATTATCCTGATTTTACCAATGACAAAGTAGACTACACCAATTAGGTGACTACCTCACTCTAATGCATTTCATTAAAATGGAACTGGTTTAAAGCCAGGTTAGTAGTTTCATACAACCATTCATTTGTTCATTCTCTCTTTTATCTACCTGTACCAAGGCGCTCCCAGAATAGAAAAAGAAAGGCTTTTAGAATCAGACAAACTTGACTATGAAAGCCTAATTTGCTATATGACCTCGGTCATGTATTTAACCTCTCAGATCTCTTTCCTCATTTATAACTTAGGGAGAATTATGGCTTATAGTGTTTTATAGGAATCAAGTAATGCATGAACACCTGTCAATCACAGTTTCTGTCACACAGTAGGTGAACTATTTGAAATACAAACTGCTATATATCACATTTTATGTGTGGTCTAATGTAGTGGTGAAAGCCTATAATTGGCTGTAGTTGATTGATTCTTTCCTGTTTATGGTATATGAGTCAGTGCTATATCCCAAGAATGTGAACAGAGATGAGACAAGACATTTCTTTTATGGCCATAAGAGTCTCTTAGACGATGATCTTCAATGGTAGAACATGTATTCATGACATCCTCAGCATCAAAACTAATGGACAAAACTGATGTCCAGAATTGGGATATAGCTCTGTTATAGAACATGCATGCAAGGTCTTGGGTTCAATTTCCACTGCTGCAAGCAAAAAGGAAATTAGGGGAAAACATTGTTGCAAGGCAGCTGGTATTCACTATAGTAGGGCTAACCTAAGAGGTCTGTTTGTGTAGAATTCACCCATTGGTTAAGATGGGTAGATCGGCCATCATAGAAATGCACTAAACAATCCCAAGCATTAGGTTGACCTCATGGGCTTTGAGGAGAAGTCAACGTAAGTGTTTCCCAGTTCTCCCTGGGAGAGTGAAGTAAAATGCAGAGGAGGAGGCTAGCATGAAAGAGTGGTGTGTTCAGTGTATCCTTGGTTTTTCTGAAGAAAGGCATGGCATTATTTATCTTGAACCACACATTTTCTCTCAGCTGCTCCCCCATGTCTGACATTGACTTTGTATTCAGAGCTCTCTTTCTCTGTTCAGCTCCTGGTCCCCCTGTCACTGCTATCTCCCATAATGCATTACTTTGTAAAGAGCCTTGCGCTATCCTGAGTATAAAAGAGATGCTTGGTAAAACCAGATCCTATTCTCTGAATGTCACCACTAGCCATTGTGTAGAAGAGTGTAATATATTGTGTGAGAGAAAATGGAGGAACAGGAGAGGTGTTTAAAGAGCAAATAAAAGCTTGAAACAGAAGAGCACTGGGTGCATTGGAGTTAATAAACTGTTGTGGCAGAGCAGGCCACTTTTAAATGTGAAGAAATCCAATTTAGGGACTTATAACTGTAGGATGAGAAGCCCACCGGAATGAAACTAGTGGATAGATTTAGCCAAATTCTAAATGTCCAGGTTCTCATTGAAAATCAGCCCTTGGAATTGAGCATACATCTTCCCCATCTCTTTGAGATACTAAATTCAACTGTTTCCCACTGAATATTTGGTGCTACTCAACTTCTGGATTCTACTGCCTTTTTTTTAAACACCGAGGAGGTGCCCAGTCCCCAGTGTCACTGGCAGACCTACACAACCCATCACCATGGGCTTTTGGAACCTAGGGAGTCATTCCTCATTTCCATGGGATCAGAGACCAGAAAGCTGTCAGGAGTGAGCTCTGGCCGTGTGAACTACAGAGACACTCCTCTTAATTCGGGGGAAGTGAAGCAATCAACCCAGGTCTTCTCTTGGCAATGCTGAAGGACGACTATAACAGCAAGAGTTCCACAAGGTTTTCTGCCAAGAACTGGATTGGATTTTGTGCTTCCTCAGCCACAAAATGTCCCGGCATCTCACTCCCAAATCACTAACGCCCTTCGTGGTCAGTCTGCTCAGCTTGAATACTTCCTGATTTTTTTTTTGTTCAATACCTTCATTATCAGCTTTTTCTTTTTGTTAGCCAAATTCTCAAATTTTTAGGTCTATAACATATCCCTGTTCCCCTTTTTGGGTTAAAAAAGCAGGAGAGATTAAACCACATTTTCATGTTTGATAGAAAAATGACTCTCTTCTAGCTCTGGGCCGTTTTCTCGGAGGACAATGCTATATTAATCTATTTGCATTCTGGTATTGTAACACCATTGACCTTGGAGGATTGCATAACTGTCTTGAGCTTCAGTTTCTCCATTTGAGAAATGGGAATAAAATGTCTAATTTGTAGGATTTTCATGAGAAGAAAAGAGATTTCACATGATGAGAATACCTTCCAGTGCACAGTGGATAATACTGTACGATAAATGACCATTTAAAGCAAAGCAACACAGGCGGGACCCATTCCCATAAAATAAGAGGCACTTAGAGCGAATGATGAGAAACATAAAGAGAAATGACCGAGGCTCATATTCTACAGAGTTCTGCATCTTTAGTCTGCTGCATGGTGTGTGATTTAGGAACCTGTGTGGAAATAAAAAGGGAGGGGCTCTTTGCAGAAAGAAGGTGGTGAGTTGTACGAAAAATATATAGGGCCACCCTTTCAAGACTGGCACTCCATGACTCCAACTATGAGTAGTATTGGCTTATTTGTATATTTTGATGCCTAAAATGGTCAGGATGACACTGTTCTTGTAATGCAGTAATCGCTGATGTGTAAGGCAGTGTGGGGTGTATAGTGTCATGGAATACAAGCTAGAAAATCAGAAGATTGGGTTCAAGATGGCTTGAGTGGGGCTAGACGTGGCTTGGCGTTATGGGCGCTTGTTGCATTCGCAGAGGACTCGAGTTCAGTTTCCAGGGCCCACATTGTCAGCTTACAATCACTTAGAGTGATTCCAGTTCCGTGAGATTTGATGCCTCCTCTGGACTTGGAGGGTACCTGCACACACGTAGTATAAACTCCAAACACACACACACATTCTCTCTCTCTCTCTCTCTCTCTCTCTCTCTCTCTCTCTCTATCTATCTATCTAACACACACACACACTCTTTCTCATTCTCTCTCACACACTCTTACTTTCTCTCTCTCTCAAGAACACACACACACACACACACACACAAAATGTAATCTTATTTTCTTAAGGGCTGTTTTTGTTAAGTCTTGGGTAGGTCCCTTAACTTCATTGAACCTTGGTGTCAACATATCTAAAATGAGGTACTAATATTCCTTTTAATTTTTTCCTGATGGGTGTTTACAAAGATAAATTAAAATTAAGTACCCAGGTATTGCTTCTCCGATTTAATGTTAAGAGACAGGAGTCTAACAGGGAAACACGGAAGCTTTTCCAGGCTGTCACTCTCTAGGAGGCAAACATGAGGTCCAGGCCACAAGAACACGGGGCCTCCTTGCCTGGAGCTTGCTGGATTCATCTTATCCAGGCCACGTTTTGTGGCCAGCCTCTGTTGAGCCCCCTTTGCAGCTCACTTGGCCTGGTCTTTGCCAAGGACAGCTCAAGGATGGTTATAACTAGACTGCCAGGGGTCCCAGGCAACAGCAAGCCCCCTCCTGCTGTCTCCAGTGCGTGCTTGGCTAGCCCACGCTGCCCAGCACTGCCTTGTCTGCTTTATCTCTGTCTGTTGGCTGCCGATTTGTCTTGGTCAAGGATTTATTAGGCTTTTGAAATTTTCTTTTTCTCTCATCATGCCCAGAGAACATCAGAATTAAGACTGGGGAGAGAAATGGAGTTTGGAGGCTGGCAGATAGAGTTTCTTGACTCTCCAGTGATCAGACACTGCGAAGATGTGTTCCATAGCGCACCTCGTGCTTTAAACTACTCTCTCCCTTCTGTTTGCAGAGAGTCGACAAGCTGAAGATGAAGCCCAGCGTAGAGTGCCGTTCTCCCAAGTTCTGGCTGGTGTTGGCCGTCCTGGCCGTATCCGGCAGCAAAGCTCGTTCTCAAAAGAGCCCCCCCAGCATCGGCATCGCAGTCATCCTCGTGGGCACTTCAGACGAAGTGGCCATAAAAGACGCCCACGAGAAAGATGACTTCCATCACCTCTCGGTAGTTCCCCGCGTGGAGCTGGTAGCCATGAACGAAACTGACCCAAAGAGCATCATCACCCGTATCTGCGATCTTATGTCCGACCGGAAGATCCAGGGGGTGGTGTTCGCTGATGACACTGACCAGGAAGCCATCGCCCAGATCCTTGATTTCATTTCTGCTCAGACGCTCACCCCTATCCTGGGTATCCATGGGGGCTCATCTATGATAATGGCGGATAAGGTAAAAGACGGCTATTCTGAGGAGCAAATGATGCATTGTTTTTTAATGCCAAAACTAAGTAGTTAAACACAGAAATTTACCAGGGCACATAAGGGTGAGTGAAGAGACGAGATCTAGTCAGATAGTTAGATGAATGTGGGAAAGTGACCCGAGTGTAGACGCGCCCAGAGCAATGGTTCTCAACCTGGGGTGGAACCATCCTTTCACGGGGTTGCCTAAGACTTTCAGAAAACACAGATATTCACGTTATGATTCACAACAGTAGCAAAAGTACAGTTATGAAGTGGCAACAAAAATAGCTTATGGCTGAGGGCTGAGGGCTCCACAACATGTGGAGCATTAGGAAGTTTGAGAGCCACTGCTCTAGAGTTCAGGACAGGTTCATGTGTCTGTTTGTCTGTGACTGAGAGATATTAAAACTTGGAGTCTTGGTAGTTTTTTTCCCCAAATAGGTATGTAATGAGATCCCTCAACACTGTAAGGCACCCCTCTTCTATCATGATTACTAATTTCTCCCCACAATGGTTGTAAGAATTTCAAAAGAGAAATGCCCGAGGCAGGTAGTTTCTGTCTATGAAGACTCAAGTGTCACAGGAATAGGATGGTATCCACTCCCATCTCTGGATCTGTACATTCTAAGGATATTAGCCACACAGTCACAGCAGCTATGTTTTCTCCAATATTAGATCTGAAGACTGTTTTAACTGTGGTTGTACACTGGAGTCACCTGGAGGGCTCTGAATGGCCCTGATGTCTGGTTCCATCCCAGTCTGGGATTCTGAGGTCTAAAAATCCTCCTCCTCAGGTGACTCCAGAGTTATGGTTAAGTGAGAATATTGCTGTGGAGCTTCAGAAAGAAAAAAATGCCTGGACTCACGTTAGGTTAAATGTCTAACGACAGGCGGTTTCTCATTTGACATTAGCCCTGAGTCTGAAATCACAGAAAACACCTTCTGCTTGGATTTTTAAGCCATTGTTAATTACTCAGTTGCGTTTTTCTCACTTTACTGATCAGTTCTCATGGCTTAGCTTCCATAGCTGTCATACCCATGCTTTCAGCAGTCTTACAGGGATTCACCTTCCTGCAGTACGTGGGAAGTTTGTCATTTTCAGAATCATTTCCACCTTTGTATTGCCATCTTAAATTCATTGTCATCACTTTCAGAACTGCCTTTAGGCTTCTAGCTAGAGATCATGCTGTGTGGTCAAGAGTGTTTGTGAGCACCCCAAGCCTCACCTCACCACCCCAAGCATGGTGCTTCACCAGATGAGAACTGCCACAGCACAGGCTTGGCAGAGAACCCCTGTGACTGGTGTCACCATCTGTTGGTGGCAGAAGGGATGACTACTGCTTCTGCCTCCCATAGTTCCATTCAGGAAAGGCTGGAGGAGCTTTAGAACCACGTGACAAAGGTGTTCATGTGGGCGCCGAAATGAATGTTAGAAAACAAATGACTGCCAGGAGTTGCTTGGAATGAACTTAAACACAATGGAAAAGGTACCAACCTTGGCAACACACACTGAGTGCTTGCTTCGGGTAGACACCATTTTAAAAGGTTGTTGTCCTTGGTAAATTATGTTTTATTTTATGCATGGTATTCCAAGGGTAGAATATTGCATTGGAAGAATGCTGACATGATTAAGATTTGAATTTTAAAATCATAAATAAGTGTGTGCTCCGTTCTGGAGTACAACAGATAAAAAATGATTTTGCTGCTGTTGTAGTTGCCCATCTGAGTTATTGCAAACCTATGTTATTTCCCTCGAGTAGGGAACGTGTGCATAAGCTGATTGGTTGCATCCCCCTGGTGTCTCTTGCAAATTCTCAGCCTGAATATAAAACTGGGAGCTGAGGTGCAGTCTGGGTGGAGGCTGGGCTTTCTTACTCCCTGGTGCATTCTGGGTACACTGAGAGTGTTCGCCGTATGCTAAGCAGTTAGCCTGTCATGCACTATTTTATTTAACACCACTGAGCTAAATGGCAGTGCCTCTCATTCAGATGGGGACACCAAAGCCCAAAGAAATTAAACACCACATCCAAAGTGCTGTTGTAGGAACTAGAAGCCGTACTTTTAACTGCCGTTGCCAAGGAAAGGATGAGGCCGGCGGAGGCGTCATAAACCTTCTTACTGGCTCCTTTGTCCTTTGTCCTATGGCTTCGTGGGAAATGCTACTGACGGACAGTACCCGAGCACCCGTAGAAGGCTCACTGCGGAGGAGAATGTGCACGAGCCAGCGCAGCGCAGGTCTCTAGAGACGCTGCTGGTACTGCCTTCTAAGGGCAAAAGGCAGAACTGATCTGTAGATCTCAGGGGTCACTGTCACGAGAGCCACTCTCCCTTCTGTCTCCATTGTTGCCGCATTCAAAAACCCCAAGTCACCTTTGCTTCTCCCCAGTAGTAAAAGGAGGCGGTCGAGAGAGCAGTGACTGTTTTGGAAGAAGTCCTAGCATAGAGTAAATAACGTCTCATTGGGTTTTGGACCAAAGTCAGAAACAGGACGAAGGGAGAAGGTCCTGGCAGCAGGAGAGGTGGGAGCATGGTCATGGAGGGCAGGGGGCAGGGTTGACGGTAGGACCAGAGAGGGGTGTCAGAGATCCAGAGGCACTGAGGGCATAGACGTGATTCCCAGGCTGTGCTGAGGAATGTACACACTGTGTAGGCTTGGAAGACCTGCATGCTATCAAATAATGGGCCCTCCTGGTCACAGGGAGAGAAGTTTTGGCCTTGAAGTCTGAGGTCAGGTTTGTTTGTTTTAAAATCGAAGTATACAGTCCATTGCCATGGTTGCATACTGTACATGTAGAATGGGGACATGTGATTTGACAGCTGTGGCAGACAGTGGGGCAACAGGATAAAGAATTTCAAGATGAAACTGATGAGGGAACGTTGGGCTGTATGGTGTCTGTGAATGAAACTCTCAGTAACTAACTGAAGAGTGATGGAGAGACCTCCTGTTTTATTTGCCCTACTAGGAGACAGGTAATTGCCACACTGTTTACACTGTTTTCTTGGATAGAATTTAAGCTCTCACTCCCCTTATTTGTGGGGGTTTGGATGCTGGAAAGACACCGCTGTTATAAGGGCTTCTGATGGCAGACACAGATCTGTCTCGGCACCTGGGCAAATGGTGTGCACTCATGGTTGCAGACGCTCACTGGTCAGTAAAAGCGTCAGGGTTCTGCTTCAGTGAGGTGAATGCACGCCATACTGTGGCGGAGAGAAACATGAGAAGTGTCATGGCAGAGCTGATGAGAACTCAGGAGCTGGAGTCTGAGTGGCTTCCACCACCCCATCCTGGATGTGGGGCTCTGGTTTACTCAGAATCCTCAGGCTCTGTGTGGGGAGAAGAGAAACCCTTAGTGAATGGTTGAGGATTAGATGAGATACGTAGCTCACAAGGAAACCCAGGAGAGCAATCTGGGAGAAGGCTCTGAAGAAGAGCACTGGAATCTCTTGTCTCACCCAGGAGGTTGAGATTCATTAGAGTATGGAAACCTGCCATGGCCAAAAAGGGTGCACCCACCACAGAGAAAGCTCTATCCATCTACTGAAGAACTTGTAGTAGAAACCTGTTTTGAGCAGTAACAAGGAGAGTTTAAAAATGCATTCAGTGCTTCTTGGCAGTCCCCCATCTGAGAATAAATAACGCATTTTGTTTTGTGTTGTTATAATTGCTTTTATTCTCCCTGAGATCCTGGGTTTAGGATGGATGTCTGAAATCAGTCTAGAAGCGTTTCCATTTCTTTTCAGAAGCTTTTTCAATTGATGGTGCTTTCACATTTTAGCTCAGAGATGTTAAGTAACCAGCCCAGAACGTCAAAGAAGCTTGTAGTTAGCAGTGAACTGGGATTCAACTCCCAGAAACACATGTTTGAAAACCCATGCTTTTTGTGTACAATTTTGTTTCATAAGACACGGAATTAAGAATTATAAGTCACACATTTCAATCTCCATTCTGATGAGTTTTGGAAATTTAGGCAATCAGATCACTTAAGTGATATGAGGCTCAGTAGACAGTTGTAAGATATAAATTGGTTTCCTTCTACCCAATTTACATCATTTTGAAGATAAAAAGAAAATATGTGAAAAATGTTGGAATGGTACCCAGAAAACAGACACTTGATAAGAACACTGGAGTCCCTGAAAAATGTTCTGCCTCTGTGACAGTGACAATAAAAATGGCTTGGGCAGGAGGTGGACACAAAGTCCCAGGATGCATCTCGCTCCAGGATCACTCGAGATGAAGTGAATCGGAGCTCCGCAGCTGGGTGGAGAGGAGAGGGAAGGGTGCACTGAGTGAGAGTCGAGGCTCAGAATAGATGGGTTGATCAGGGTGAAAGCCTGACCCAAAATGTGCGCTGAAGGCTATGCGCATGCTCACTGAGCTCTCTGGGGCTCTGTCTCCCTCTTTTCTAAAGGGCATGGCTGGGCAGTGATGCTACAAATAGTATATTGAGGTTTTTCTGTTTTCTGTTTATTAATTTTCATTGCCACACTGTGCATACTTGCATGCGTGCGTGCATGCATGTGTGCGTGTGTATGTGCAGAAAGCCATTTTGGAGCATAATGGATAGGATGATGCTCCCCCTCTTCTGTTATCTCCCACCCTCTGTCTCCACTGTTCATTCTTCTCTTTGACACTTTCTTTAGAGAGAAGAGATAAGCCCATGATCATTGCCTTAATTTCTTCTCCCTCCCCCCAGTTTCTCGTGGGTTTAGTTAGCACTGCCATGATAACTACATGCTGTGCATACTTTTACACAGTGTCTTCTCTGAAATTTTTTGGCATCTTGGTTTTTCACCTGATTTTGGTTGCCTAGGACATGGTATTCTATAGAAGCAAACTGGTGTCATAGCATTTCAGACATAGGGAGTAAAGCATATGCCCGGTACATGTTAGTAAGCATTGTAATTTTTCATGCAATCCTGTGAGGTAAGCAAGCCCTAGCATTTCCTTTCTGTTGATGAAGAAAATAAATGTGAGTATTAATGTACCTT